AGCTGTGACAGATCCCCACTGGTGCTGGGGCAGAGAGGTGTGACCATCCCTCTCGGTGGGAAAAAGCACATACTGTAGAGTGCTAACCTGACCAATGATACACTAACATGTAAAAAAGGTCTAAGTGAGTGTAATTCACTCATTCCGAACTAAGAAAACGGGCTCCGCCAGAGCCTAGAATTGGTAAATAAAATATTAGAATAACTTATGAGAACAACTAATTTGTAGTATTTGCACACGTAACAACCACTTATAACCTTTTTCCACTGTCAATGTGTTACCGTTACTGTGTGCAGAACAAAGCCAACTCCCAACCTGTTTCAGTCACTTTGGTTTTGTAAACGGCATCGGGAGACTATTTAAGCTTCTTCTTGCAGGAATGTCCTGAGATACGATGCTGACAGTACCGTGTCTCTTTTCTTCTTCCCGCTGCTCCTCCATCCGTCCTTTAACTCATCCTCCGTGCGTTCTCTTTCTCCGCAGCGCACTTCGACTCCCAGGCCTTTCAGCACCTCTGCAGCGCTGGACAGTGTGGTGTAGGTCTTCTCCCCCGTGCCCAGCTTGAGTTTGAACTGCGCTGGGTATATACACCTCGCCAGTATGTCCTTCTTTTTTAGCTGCTTGATGACTTCGTGCACCTTTGCCCGCTTCTTGTGTAACTCGGGAGAGTAATCCTGATCAAAAAAGATCCTTTTATCTTGGAAGGAGACCTGTCCCTGACTCCATGCCTGTTGTATAACCAGATCTTTAACCGCTGCGTCCAAAAATCTCACGATGATGTGTCTTGGAGGGGCTGTCGGGTCTCTATGTGGCGTATACGGGGGTGAGCGGTGTGCTCTCTTTATCTTAATATCTGTTAGTGATGGTATTTTAAGCACCTTGTGTAACAGTCCTTTAATACATTCTGCCATGTTTCCTCCCTCACTCCCCTCTGGTACCTGAAAGATTCTCACATTATTTCTTCTCAGTCTATTCTGCAAGTCGTCGCAGGTGGCTGAGAGGGCAATATCACGGTGGATCAGGTATCGGAGCGCCTTCTGATGCCGCACCGCTACGTCCTCGGCCATGCCGACTCTGTCCTCCAACTTTCCAATCCTCCCCTCATGTTCGCCCATTTGAACTTTTATATCTAGCACCGTCTGTTCCAGTCGATCCAGAGACATTTTAGTTTGATTATGCCCCTCTTGATTTTCCTTGCGGAGTTTCCCAAGCTCACCCATCAACGTAACTTCATGGTCCGACTCGCACATGTTGCTATCTGTTGTCAAGCTAGCGCTAGCTGGGCTGGCCGGTCTCCGTTGTTTATCGGTTTTTTCCTTTGAGATATCTTGTTTGTTGGGTGCTTTGTTTCTGGTTGACGAGCTCATCATGCAGGAGTGCTCTTTCTTATTTTTTAAAATGTCTTATATTACTAGTTGTCTCTATTTTTGTGTATAGTCTGGCGGAGCTCCACTTCTAAGCTGCTGCTTCTCCCATGACGTCACCGGAAGTCATAGTTGCTCAATTTCAATACCATAAGTCAGAACAAGGTCGAGAGTGTAATTATAGCAGTGGGTTGGTTTATTTACACTCTGACAAAAACCAACAGAATCTAATATAGAGTTAAATGCAACAGTAAGGCTATTTTTATCATCGTCAACATGAATATTAAAGTCACCTACGATAATTACTTTATCTGTTTTAAGAACCAAAGTTGATAAAAACTCAGAGAATTCTGATAAGAATTCTGAATTAGGACCTGGTGCACGGTACACTGTAACAAATAAGATTGGCTGCAAAGTTTTCCAGGTCGGATGCGTAAGACTAAAAACGAGACTTTCAAAGGAGGTATAATTTAATTTTGGTTTAGTATTGATAAGTAAACTTGAGTCAAAGATTGCTGCAACTCCACCTCCTCGGCCTGTGCCTCGAGCAATATGAGTATTGATATGGCTGGGTGGAGTGACCTCATTTATGCTGACATATTCTTCATGTCTCAACCAAGTTTCAGTGAGACAGCATATATCAATATTATAATCTGATTTTAAATCATTTACCAATATTGCTTTAGATGCTTGAGATCTTATGTTTAAGAGACCACATTTAATCTTCCTGTTTTGTTGCACTGTAGTAGTTGTTACATTTACTTTTATTAGGTTATTATGTATGACACCTCTATTAGGTTTTACCTTAAATTGTCCTTGGGCAGACACACACACCGCTAATATTGGGTATTTTATTGGGTTCGGGATTCCTATGGATGACTGCCTAGGAGAGAGCGCAGAGAAGCGTGTAAGACTGCGACTCCGCCTCCTGGTCTCAACTCCAGTTTGTCATGGATTAAGTCCACAAAGCCCTGAAATGTTTGCTGAAATGAGATGTGCACCTTCCAAAGTAGGATGAATGCCGTCTCTCTTAATCAGACCAGGTTTTCCCCAGAAGGCTGTCCAATTATTTACGAAGCCCACATTGTTTGCTGGGCACCACCAAGACAACCAGCGCTGAAATGATGACATGCGGCTATACATGTCATCATTGATCAGATTGGGGAGGGGACCAGAGAAGATTACGGTGTCCGACATTGTTTTAGCATAACTACACACCGACTCCACATTAAGTTTGGTGCATTCTGATTGGCGTACACGAACATCATTACCACCGACGTGAATAACAATCCTACTGTAGTTACGTTTATTTGTAGCCAGCAGTTTAAGATGCGCCTCAACGTCGCCCGCTCTGGCCCCCGGAATGCATGTGACTGTGGAGGCTTCGGTCTCTAATTTCACGTGTCTCATAATAGAGCTACCAATAACCAGAGTTGGCTTCTCAGTGGGTGTCTCGCTGAGTGGGGAATATCTGTTAGATACGTGAACGGGTTGGTGGGGACCTGCGGGTTTCGCGTTATGCCCCTTCTGAACAGTCACCCAGTCTCCCTGCTGCTCGGGAGTTGCCGGGGGACGGCTAATAGGAGCTACCTTTTGCCGGTCTGCACCGGCTAACATGGGCTTTACTGTAGCTGAGTTACTTTCTAAGATGCGGAGCCGGGCTTCTATGGCTATGATTCCCGCCTCCAACCTAACAACTATACTACATTTAACACATGTATCGGTACCATTAAAGGAGGTAGGGGAGTAACCAAACATAAGACAGGAAGAGCAGGAAATAGCACCCGAGGGTGGGGAAAGAGCCATGGCTAGCTATCAAGCTAAAGTAGCTACCGTTAGCAAACCCGAAAAGAGTGTAGGCAACTGTGGAGTTACAGTCGCTAAGAGAATGAGAGTTGTGAGTGCTTAAGCTATAGTAACGTCTGATTACAACGTCAGGCAGTTGCCGTGATCAAGAGTTTTAAAACGATCTATTAAGTTAAGATAATAAGCTATCAGCAACAGAACAGGCACACGGGATACCCGGAGATGACAACAACAACCGGAAGTTACAACATGCTTACCGCAATAGTGGTCCGTGTAGAAACCGTTTGTTGACACATCCAGGTGACTTTTCAGAGTTGTTGTGCCACCGTGGTAGGCCAGTTTCTTGTCGCATATTTGGCACACTGCCTTCTTCTTATCGTAAAATGGTCCCACACAGCTGAAGTCTTCGGCATTTCGTGTTCAGGTGTGTGAAACGAGGTGAAGCGTGACGTTCGTGACTCTGTGAGTGAAAGCGATGTCAGGAGCCCAGGCTGAGATTGTATATATTTCCGCATTTTAACAGTGCAATTCAAAAGTATAAATATAGTATAAGAATATGGCAATTCGCCTTTATTGATAGCATACATTTAGGGAAAAAAAAATTAAAAAAACGAATATCCGAATAATAAAATTGAAACCCGAATAGTTGGCCAACGAACGAATATTTGGATATTCGGGTACAGCCCTAGTAGCTACATTCACTTGTTTGTGTTACCAATCTAACCAGACGAGTCAACTCACTCACTGTTAATTTACTGAGATATTATGGAGGCATTGTAGATGAAACCAGAAAGACATTTTAGGACAAAGCTCCTACACTGGTCTATTTTTTTTGGAGTTTTTATTTCCCACTCTTTGGACTGTCAGGTGAAGAGTAACTGGCCCTGAAGCCAAATACCTCTCCATGAGCTGCTGTCTTTCACCTTCTTTAGAGACCCGGGCCCCTCATCTCAACAAAGATGAGAAACATATAAGTCAAAAACAGAACAGACAAAAAAAATACGGAAAGATTAGCAACACAGACAAGGGTGTGGTGTTTGGGCTTAACTGAAATAACCTGTTATCTTTATTCTCTGAGCATCCAACATTTAAACGTTGATTTAAACGTAGATGGACCCTTTCAGGAGAAGAGCACAGAAAAAAGCGGAGAAAACGCTCTCTCGGGTAACAGAAGACGAGACGTGCGAGGAAAGGAGCATTCCTCAGAGATCTGTGCTCATGTGAATGACTTAAAGAGACATGAGTCATGAGTGTTCACATCAGGTACATAACACACCTTCACGCTCCTGGAGAGACACAACACCCAGCTGCTTGAGTCAACAAGACTCAACCTGTTAGACCTGATCGGATGATCACATGTGGAATAGGGCTGAACGATAAATCGATTTTAAATCGAAATCGCGATTTTAAATGATGCGATTATCAAATTATTTAAAAAAAAAACATCCACACCAATCAGAAGTGCTGTGCTCCACATTGTTAACCAATCGCTTAAAAACAAATATCGCAAATCGAATCCCAATCGCAATATCTGTCAGAAAAATCGCAATTATAATATTTCCCCAAATCGTGCAGCCCTAATGTGGAACATGTGTGGCTGTTGTTTGCTTGCTGCTTTTTCCTGTTTCTGTTAGTGTGTGGAGGAGTTTATTACATTTAGCTGAGGCTTTTATCCAAAGCCACTTACAATAAGTGCGTTCGACCAACAAGATACAAACTTGAAGAAAACAGAATCATATAAGTACATCAGGTTTCATAGCAAAAACATTTCAAGTGCTACTCAACTGGCTTTAGGTAAGCCAGTTCATCCATCATGTGTTTGTTTTCTAGGAAGCTCCCAACGGCAGGTCAACGTCGGCACTCCTCAGAGAGGCTTTGCGAGGCCAGCAGAGCTTCTGGAGGGAAAGGTGTGTGTGTGTGTGTGTGTGTGTGTGTGTGTGTGTGTGTGTGTGTGTGTGTGTGTGTGTGTGTGTGTGTGTGTGTGTGTGTGTGTGTGTGTGTGTGTGTGTGTGTGTGTGTGTGTGTGTGTGTGTGTGTGTGTGTGTGTGTGTGTGTGTGTGTGTGCGTGTGTGTGTGTGGGCGTGCGTGCGTGCGTGCGTGTGTGCGTGCGTGCGTGTGTGTGCATGCTTCATTAACACCCCGCCTCTCCACTGTCAGGACTCTGATGCCATCTACCAGTGGCTGTGTGAGTTTCAGTTGGAGCAGTACACATCCAACTTCATCCTCGCAGGATACGATGTCCCCACCATCAGCAGGATGACCCCTGAGGTGATACCATTTTGATATGCTGATAATGATACATCTTCACAATAAGATCCAGTGTTGTTATTGTTGCATGTGTTTCTTGACACAGGCCCTGTTGTATTTTTGCCAACATTTGTGTCTGCTCAGCATCACGCTCCTCACTGAAGCCCCTTTCTCACTTCTTGTCTCCACACTCTATTACTACATATAGAAGAAGTACTCAGATCCTTTACTTAAGTAAAAATACAAATACTTTGGTCTTTAAATACTCCACTACAAGTAAAAGTCCTGATTTTAATATGTCACTTGAGTTGAAGTACAAAAGTATTCACATTAAAATGTACTTACATTTAAAAAAAAAGTGATAGTACTCACTCTGCACAATGTCCCAATTCAGAATAAGTAGATACAAGTACATCTGTAAAGTTTCAAAATTAAAAGTACTCTGACTACTCATGAGCATAGTACTGTATTGTAAATGTGGACCAAATTTAGATACTTGAAATACTGTGTAGATTAGTACTACAGTTAGCGCTGCACGATATTGGAAAAAACTGACATTGCGATTTTTTTTTTTAAGAAAACATACAGGAATTGAAGAAAAGACCGTTTTTTTTCCCGCAAACCATCCTTTCTTGAACTTTAATGCTATACAATTGGTATTTTTTTAACTATATTTAACCGGATGAAATATTTTAGTCACAGACGTCTGGATCTGAAGTTATCAGAGCAACAAGCTGAGCTAGCTCGGTTGGCAGTGTCGAACTGGAGAAACTCATGAAATTACTTTATTCAGTGTTTTTACCTTTAATCACGGGGTCCGTTTGCTTTGGAGATTTGATTGTGATTGGTGGTTTGCTGTGCATGCAGAGCCTGCATGTCACTCACTCAAGTACCCCTGACATGAGAGCCACGCAAGTTTTCCTTATGTTACAATTATGTTGCTGCTTGCTCATAGCCGCGGGAAGTAGGGGTGCTGGGGGTGCTGCAGCACCCCCTGTTGGCGAGTGGTGTACATTTGAAAAACTGAGTGACCACCTAAATAAAAAGGATTAAACTACATAAAATAGTTATGATTTTACTTAAAATAAAATTAGCTGTATACAGTAGCATATAATAGTCATAGTATATATTTGTATATATCAGGTGGCTTGAATTTATTTTCCAAATAAGTAAAATCCGAGTCATCTAGGTCGTAGGTCATGGGAGAGTGACGTAATTGACGCGACACACACACTGCAGAGTAACAACTTTCTAGAATGGCGCAAAAAAGGATTTTGGATTTTTTTCTCCAACAAACAACCCAATAAAAAGAGTGGACCACCAGCTACTCCTCAGCCCACCACCTCTACAACTAGAGTAATATATATAAATTATCCATTATCTCATTACATTTGCGCATATGTTAACACATTTCAGGAACCGAAATCTGAACTTTGGATAAAGCCAGGTTCAAAATTCTCGTTTCATTTTGTAGTCATATTAGCATCTACTGTAAGGCTTTCACCGAAGGGATTTTGGATATCTCTCTTTATCACTCCATAAATCAGAAAATATTGTCAACAGCCCTAAAATATCAATTTTCGCCATGTTTCTACGTATACAATCTTATATAATTCAGGCTATGAATGATATATGAACAAACCCTTCTGTAAAAGCCTTCATAATATTGATAGGAATATAACTGGAAGGTCTGGTGTATGTAATTGCAACTGAAGTTGACATTTCGGACTCAGAGTAGGAGAAAAAACTCAATTTGAGAAAACGACCTTTAAAGATTGCAGTGAGGCGCTAGCTAAACCCTCTGTTCTTTGGATGACAGCTTGCGCATCGACGCACTCCGTGAAGGTATTTCATGTTCGGGGTCATTTGTGTTTTGTATAACCTTGCTTCGTGCAAGTGACAATTGTTGTTGTCTTCTCTGTGAACGTTTTTTTCCGCCGTTCTTTTGCCATTTTGAGATTTACATTTCTAGCGGAAAGCTAATCAGGAAGTGTTTTAGCACACCACGTGATGCATCTGAACGAATCACGTTGTCAGAAATTGACACCAGCCAATGAGATTTCGTTTCTTGGTTTAAGACCCTTTTGTACTTTCACGATTGGTTGCTGATACAAAGGAAATGACCATATTTGGATCCGATGAGATCATTGTGCAGGAGAGACGGAGCTTTTCCAACGATGACATTGTGCAAACAGCGATCGCGGTACTTTATGTTACGTTAGAAATGCTAACTTTTGGTGAATTTAGGAGAAATATACAGATGCAAATAGACAAACTATAGTAAAATGAACACTTAAATGTGTATTTTGTACGTTTTCCTTCCAAAAGCCTGAAAGAAAACATGTTATGGAATCAAAATAGCACAACATCTAAAAATTGACCAGTGCATGAAAAACGATGTTTTTGCCTGCCGTGTCTCGACTTTAACAAACAATTTATGCGGCTCGTATCGCTGACAGCCGGGCCCGGCCCGGCATCGCCTTTTTAAAAAAAATGTAAACGGTTCCATCCCCACTTTTGGCAGCACCCCCTGAGCAAAATGACTTCCCGCGGCTATGTGCTTGCTACAAGACGTGTTTGAGTTAATTTGCCAACTTAATAAGTCCTAAAAAAAAAAAAAAAGAATCGTCACGTCCTGCGCATATCGCGATTATCGTCACGACACGATATATCGTGCAGCCCTAACCACAGTACTGTATTTTACCATATCAGCATGTAACTGTGAGTGTTAAAATAAATGTGAAGGAGTAAATACAAGTACACTATTCACCTGACTAGAGTAAAAGAATGAAAGCTGGCACGACTTGCTGCCGCTGCTCTCTGGAACTACTGAATATTACTCTAATACTGTCGTTTCTAGGGATGGGTATCGTTAAGGTTTTAACGGTACTACTACTTTTATCGATACCGCTTATTGGTCCGGTCTTTTAACGGTACTCTTATCGGTTCTTTTGGAGAAAAAAACAAGGTAAACTAACTAAACAAATTGTGAACAAAACTAACATTGCTTTTTTATTTATTTTTCACATCAAAAGAAACAACAGTATTTTAACAAATGGTATTAAATAATCTGATGACAGAACTGTAAACAGAATAGCTGAAATTTTAACAAAATAAAGAGTAACTCAGTTTCCTCTAATCATTAACCCATGTTTGTATAATTGAGTTAACTCTCTGTGTTGCTGCTAGCATACATAACACCTGACGTGGAAACGTTACTCGTGGATGGAGCTACAGAGCTAGAAAGACAGTCGAACCCGGTGCATTCCTCCGTCTGAATGTGGAGCACTTTTGATACATGTTTAGACAAATTGCTCGTGTTACCGCCCCGTCCCCTCGCACACAGAGAGATCTCTCGTCTGGACTGGAAAGATCGAAAATACAAAAAGATGCATTTTGCAGTCTTATTGCTTATTAGAAACGGAGTTGGCGACACTAAAACTGCAATATAATATTTGTGTAGCAATATGACATATATTTTTTACATGTCCCCAGTACCGATAAAAAGACCGATAACGTCGGAGCTTAACGGTACCACGGTCTTTAATAATTCAGCCCCGGGGCCTGTGTAATACCGGGGTTCGGTACCCATCCCTAGTCATTTCTCTGTCACTATGTGTACTGTTCTCTCAGCCATTTGAACAGTAGCCTATCCTCCCGACAATATCAGTGACTTGATCGCTTGTTTTAACCTCTTCTACACCGCACCCCCGATACCGGGGGGGGAAACGCGTCATCTGCAGGAAACAGCGTCTGAGGGCATCTTAATATTCAATAAACTATGAATGTTTTATATCCATGTGACGGGAAGAAACTCAGCTAACTGGTCTTTTTTTTTTTAAACACAAAGCTAGTGCTGAGCCTATGAATTAGCCACGAGCGAAAAATGCTAACGGGGTGTTGCACAGAAACTCACTCATAACACCCTTATTACTTATCGTAGCTGCACGCCCAACCCATCGATTCGCATCGTGAGATGACACAGAATCGATAGGTACATACATTATCACTCCATGAGAACTCGCAAAGCTATTAACAAGAACGGACATCAAAACATGTGGCGCTAGGTAGCTAAAACCGGCAACATGGCCTACCTTGGTCGTTGTCTGGTCAAAAGTGGTCTTCAATGGCATTAAAACGATAAAAACGCTGCTGAAGGTTAATCCATAGGTTAATCCAATGTGTCCGTGTCCCTTTGAAACGATTTCTGATAATCCATAAGCAATAAACCTGCTTTTACGTTTCCAGATGTCAGAGCGAGAGATAGGTTCACTCTGATGCAAACCTGCATGTAAAGCCCCCACTTTTTTTTTACCATGTGTGTGTATGGGGAAATTCCCCTTCGATTCTATTGGCTCTAATGGTCAAAAAGAGATGTCAATCACCAAAATCGACCAATGGGTTCCAGAGAAACGGTAAAAAACGGCCATTTAAACCCAAATCACCTCAGAGGTGGAGTTTGTTTTTGCTAAAACTCTCTAAAAAGGTAAAATGTCACTTGTTTTGCATCAATCTTGATACAGGATACTTATTATATGCTGTACTTTGGATTCCTAAAGCTTTTTTTGTCTAATCTCGACCTGGACGCAACCCTCAGCTCACCTGATGATCTGCTCAACCACCTCAACTCCACCCTACTCACCTCCCTCAACACTTTAGCCCCCCTCAAAAATAAAACTGTTACTTTCAAGACCTCCTCGCCCTGGTTCACACTCGCACTCCATAAAATGAAGCAGCGAGGCCGCCAACTTGAACGTCTTTCAAAGAAATCATCCCTCACAGTCCATTACATAAGCTACAAACTCCATCTCAATGCATACAAAGATGCTCTTATTGCCGCTAAATCTGCCTACCTCTCCAACATCTTCACTGACCCCTCCCGTAACCCCAGGACCCTCTTCTCCACCGTTAACAAGCTCTTCAAACCCCATGCTGATAACCTCCCTACTTCTACTTCCGCTACTTGCAGCTCATTCCTCCAGTTTTTCGCAGACAAAATGAACGCCATTAACCACTCCTTC